AACTTGCAAAGGTTCACTTCCCCGCGCGTTCCAACTGGAGAGGGAACTTGAAAAGGTTCCCTCTCCAGCAGCGGGAAAGGGAACTTGCAGAGGTTCACTTTCCCGCGCGTTCCAACTGGAGAGGGAACTTGAAAAGGTCACCTCTCCAGTTTTTTCTGCTGGAGAGGGAACTTGAAAAAGCGCTTCCCACCAGAGGTCTGGTCTGCCTGGGAGAAGACGTTGGCCTCTGACAACCACGGCGTCCTGGACCCTCGGCACCAGCGCGAGAACTTTCGGCTCGGCTACGGCATGGGCATCTACTGGGAGACGCTGGCGAGGTGGATCAACACGCGCGCTCGTCGCGACGCGCGGCGCCTCGGCGTCCCCCTCGTTTTCCAGCAGGCCGTAGACGAGTGCGGCACGATTCAAGGCGAACCAGACGCAGGCCGGCGCCTCCTGAACGTCCCGAACATGCACAAGACGGGGGACATCCACGGCGTCTTACCGGCACACGTCGGCATGGAGGTCCGGGTCACGGCCGTGCAGGAGGAGCTGAAGAAGAAGTTGGGGCTCGTGCAGGAGCAACGGGCCACCATCGTGTCCTTCGAGTTTCACGCAGACGACGAGCGGGACTACGAGGAGTGCGCGCCGGGCCAGCTCTTCCGCCCCCGCTTCCTACCGCGGGGAATCTGGCTGCACGTGCGCGGCTTCCAGGAGTCCCCGATCTACAAGGAGGTCGCCGAGGTGCTGCTGCAGGGCACCGAGGGCGCTGACGACGACGGCGAGGCCCAGGCGCGGGCGAGGAGCTTGCTCTTGTTCAGGCCCAGCGAGCAGGAGTTCACGTGGCAGAGCTCGGGGGCGCACACTGTGCGCCGCTCGGGATTCACGCTGACGCACGCGTCCTACCTGACCTCCACGCTGTCGCAGGGCCAGACGCTGCGCAAGGGCGTCACCTTCGACTGCGCCAGGGATGAGGACGCTGGCCGCACGGGCATGTCGGACGATATGTGGTGGCTGCACCTCTACGTCATGTTCTCCCGCGCCACGTGCGTGCGGAACATGCTGATCCTGCGGCCGCCCGCGCGAGAGTTCCTGGAGCGCGGGCCGCCGGCGTCACTGCGGAAGGCGCTCCAGGAGTTCGACGAGAGAGCGGTGGACTCCAGGGCTGAAGCGGAGCAGCTCGCGGCAGAGCTGGGCTTCGTGCTGCCGCCCGCCTAAACGCCGCGGCGCGCGCGAGGAGGCCCGCGGGGTTGTCCCAACGGCCTGGCCCGCGGGGTTGTCCCGACGGCCTGCCCTCGCGTTCCGGCGGCCCGCGGGAGTGCCCCGCAGGCATGGCTGGCCCGAAGGGTTGACCCGACGGCTTCGCGATCTGGCCGTCGGCAAACGCGCGCGTTCTGACCGAGGCGGCGACGGCGCCGAGGAAAATCGACTTGCTTCCCCCGACCGGGGGGACAGGGACGTGCACGTGGACAAGAGGCAGGAGTTGACCCGACGGCATCGCGATCTGGCCGTCGGCAAACGCGCGCGTTCTGACCGAGGCGGCGACGGCGCCGAGGAAAATCGACTTGCTTCCCCCGACCGGGGGGAAAGGGACGTGCACGTGGAAAAGAGGCAGGAGGAGGATGAGGACGGAAGGGGTATGGGGAGGGCGATGATGAGGAGGAGGTGGAGAAGGAGGAGGAGGAGGAGGAGAAGGAGGGGGGGGGAAATAGAAGAAGAGGAGAAGATGGCAGAGGAGAGGGCGATGCGAGGGTGTTTGCCATGGCCGGGAGGAAAGGGATAAGGGAAAGCTAAACAGATTATCATGTGGGGTCCTTCCGTCGGAGTAATTGATGATGCTGATGGTGATATTGATGATGATTCCGATGGTGATGACGCAGCTGATGATGATTATGATGATGCTGCTGAGGATGGTAGTGGTGGTGGTGGTGAAGATGATGATAATGACGATGGCGATGATGGTGATGACTGTGAGGATGATGATGATCATGATGCTGATGCTGATGCTGCTGCTGTTGATCATGATGATGCTGCTGGTGCTGATGATGATGATGATGATG